ATAAAACATTTATTAACCACCTTTCTCCCTTGTGGAACTCAAGGCGGCTTACAATATAAATGCTTGTATGTTCCTCCATGCTAAAATCCCTTGTGCAAAGAAAACTAGATACTGTTTGGGAAGTATTTGTAACATTTTTCTGGTACAGCTTTACTTCTTCATCTCCCCTTTGTGTCAGTTAGGCTGAAGTTTCTATGTGCTATGTGGGTGTCCGTCAATTATACAGCAGCAAGCTACACAAAATATACTTACTGGAAAATATACTTACGTTCTCAGTAAACTTGGAAAAATAATTGCTTTATTTGGCTGTCATACTAACGATGGCTCCAAGTCGCTTATTTCATGCTTTATGCTATACAGTTAGTCTTTGACTGTAGTGTTTCAAATGCACACAATAATTAGTAAACAACACAAACAATTATGAGAATATTCAAAGACCGGAACTAAATCCTTTGGGCATTTGCAGGTGCACTGATAAAACATATCTCATGAGTGCTGTTGTTTGCAGCTTGAAAACAAATTTGTGTAGAGCACCTTGTTTGGTTCTGCTTACTGCTTGAGGCACATGGTAACCTTGATTTTATGTGTTAATTTTCAAGTGATGTTCAGAGGCCATTACAGTGAATTTGGCTAAATGTTTTTCAGGTATTTTCAAGACCTACAATTCTGTATAACTCAAGCATGTCTATATCAAGGTTAAAGAAAATCACTGTTGCTTATAAATCTGAATTTCCTTATATCAGTGCCACTTTCAAGTACCTGAATCTAGTTTAGAAGTTTGCATTAGTTGTGAGTAGATTTTGGCCACTTTATCACTGCAGTGGAGGAGGAAGGGAAATACGTTCATATTTTAGTTGTATCAAAATTCATCCTTCCTGCTATTTTTTTAACCTATTCAGAATGCTGTTGCTATACAATCTTGCCCTGTTATGGCTGTGATTCGGAAACCAGGAGAAGCCTAATCTAATTTACAGGGTTGTTGTGAGTACAGTGGAGGAGGGAATAATCTATGGTATCATTAATTCCTTGGAGGAAGGCTGGGATGAAAAATAAACTATGATGTCTCTTGGGACCTTTAAAACTGCCTCCTTGAGACATTCTACACAAGCTTCCAGGTCTTAATTTTAAAGCACTTCAACCCAGTCTAAGGAAATAAGGCAAGGATATAAATGTTATACATATCTCCTTGTGTGCCATTTTATGCTTCTTATGCTTTGTTGCTAGTCCTCCCTTTGTGTTGGTGTCCTAGGCCCCCTGCTATTGTCTCTTGCCCTATTCCACATATTCTCAGGTCTTCACACTGCTTCTCTTTCATCCTCCAAGTTTTTGTTTTAGACTCACTTATTTTAGCAAAACCTTTTTCTAAAGCACACTAGTCTCACAATAACTCCCTGTTGATTCTCCCATTAATCACTATTTACTTTCAGTCTCTAGTCTCTCATTTCATCTGTTTTGTTGCTGGAACCCTTCTAAGCAGGCACTATGCCCTTTTCATCCTGGCACAGTGAGCCAGCAGACTGTTGGTGCAAAGTAAATATTAATATCTGTGGTGAACTAGGAAAATGCATTTTATTGGTGCTGTAAAAATGCATCACTTCCTATGTCAAATATACTGTACAGGAATGTGATGTGGTCAGTCCTGTCACCTCAGAAATGCCTAATTCAGTTGAACTGATACTCTCTTGGAGCTGGGTAGACTACCATTCTGGTGCCCTTTCTCCTTAGTAAGCAGGATGAGGTTGCTTAGCAACCATAGAAGGCATGCTGTCTGGTCAGTTCACCTTCTTGGTTAAGGAGGCAGCATGTTGGGGGAGGGACCAGGCTCATATCTAGGACTGGCTCTAGTGCTCCGGCACAAATACATATTTTATAAACAGATTTGCAAAGGCAAATTAGGAAATTAGAACCCAACTATATTTTTGTACAACTTGAAATTTTAGGCACCTTTTCAGTATTCAGTAGATTTCCTCGAGTCCAATTAGACTGTAATGCAAAATTGTGCCACTTCTAAGAACTTTGTGAATTTTGGTATTGAAACAATGGGTCAACCAAGCTTTATAAAATTGATTTTCAATGGATGTTAACTTGTGCTGTCATGATGACATCAGACAATCACTACATGGTTCTCTGTTCAGTATGTATAAGGACTTAAATGATGTCTGTGAGGCACATATAGATTCATTTATGTTTTTAAGAAAAGGAGCAGAAAAAGTGGATGCAGGAGGGCAGAGATGCCTGCATGATTTCTGCCTACCACAATACTTTTCAATTTCATGAACAATAATTGAAACACACAGTCCAGCAGTTTTTGAGAAAAGCAGAAAATCTACCTTGTATTATCCTCCAATAATGCATGGAAGAAAAGGGAAAAGAAAATTAGGGAAGAGGAGGAGGAGGAGGAGGAGGAGGTGGTGGTTGGATTTATACCCCGCCCTTCACTTAGAATCTCAGAGTGGCTTACATGCTCCTTCCCCTTCTCCTCCCCACAACAGACACCCTGTGAGGTAGGTGGGGCTGAGAGAACTCTTTCAATAACTTCTCTTTCACGAACTGCTCTGACAGAATTATGGCTTGCCCAAGGTCATCCAGCAGCTGCAAGTGGAGGAGTGGGGAATCAAACCCGGTTCTCCCAGATTAGAGTCCGCACACTTAACCACTGCACTAAACTGGCTTAGATTGATCAATGTGATGAATGGTTTTATTCTACAAAGCATATAAACTCATCTGTCACCTTAGGCATTAATTGCCCATAAACTATTTTTTGGTGTACTAAAAATACCACTGTAGGATGAATCCAGAAAACATATTTTTGTTTTAACCCTGAAGAAACTTAAGCCTGATTATATGTAGCTAATGATTTTCATAGTGGTGATGGGGCCACTGTCTTAGATGGCTTTTAAAAATAATTATACAGAACATATCCCATACGGTTGTCCACTCCTTTTAATAAATGATCACATCTGTGATCTTGAGTTTAGTCATTAAGATTACATAAGGAAGTACTTCCTTTCATTCATCTTGAATCTACCAGTAATAAGTTTCCTTGAATGATCCTGGCACTAAAATTGGTAAAACAGAATTACTTTTGCAGAAGCCACGCTTATTTTTATTAGCAAGACTTACTCTTCCATATACTTAATGCTTCTGTCTTTAATGATTCTATGAATCAGTGTTCCTGTGATAGGCTAAGGGGACTGTCAATAACAACTGAAAACATAAACAGACAAGGGGAGTCAGTGAGGGACTGCCAAATGGGGGAAAAAATCTAACTGACTGGCAGAAAAAATGACAGAAAGGGATAAATGAATATCCTCAGGGAGGAAATTCCACAATTGTGCCACAGCTGAGAAGGCCTTTTCTCATGTTGCCACCTATCTAGCCGCAGATGATGTGCAGACTGTAATGGTTGAGTACACTCAAATATGAGGAGGTGGTCCTGGGCCTCAGGTATGCTGGCTGCAAACCATACAGAACTTTGAAGGTCAGTAGTAGCACTTTAAATAGGGTCTGGAATTAAATAGGGCCTGGAATCAAACTGAAAACCAGTGTAGATGGAAGTGGTAAGTCCTGTACAATCCATTCCAGTCAGCATTTTTTGCAGCAATCTTCACCATTTATAGCTTCCAGACATTCTTCAAGGGCAGTCCCATGCACAGTGCATTGTTCTAATCTAGATGTTAGCAGGGTACATGCACCACTGGGGGCAGGCTGTTTTTTAAGCAGCGAAGATGACACCTAGCTCACCAACCAAAGCAGGTGAAAGGGGCTCCTGGCCATAGCTGCCACCTGCTCATCCAAGCAGTGCCCCCAAACTCGGGACCTATTCATTTAGGGGGGATGCAACCTCAGCCAGAACAGATAAATCTATACCTGAGTCGTTTCCTGCCCACCAGTAGTGCCTCCATCTTGTCAGGAGTAAGCTTCCACTTACAAGTTGTCATCTCATTAAATGTGACATGTTAGATTCTCTGGGCAAATTTCCACTTACATATATGTTGAATTTGATAGCATGATCACAGTTCTGAAGTAGTCTGGCATTAATTCTTTTACTCCAGATCTTGAGTTGTTCATCAGAATTGGGATAACTCCACTCTAATGGTCTTCATGACTGACCTTGAAAAGGGCCAGCTTCCTCCCTGGCAATGGTCTCAAAGGATGAGGGGGTGGCTGCTGCTGCTGCTGCTGCTGCTGCGGGGTGGTCCCAGGTGAGGTGGGGCTGACCTGGCTCTAGCGGCTGCTGTAGTGGAGGACTTCCCCTAGGCCATTGGCCCACCCGGATTGCCGCCGATGGCCATAATGGCCAATCCAACCGGTCCCTGACATCTGACTGCAAATTCTGATGTGGGGTGGCGGTGGTAAAGGGAGGGGGCTACTTATCGTCATGCTTTTGTTGTTCAGTCGCACAGTCCAGTCGGACTCATTGCGACCCCATGGACCACATCTCGCCAGGCCCTCCTGTCTTCCGTCGTGCTCCGGAGGTTGCTGAATTTCATCAGGCTACAGTTTCCATTTCAGGCGAAATGAAGTGCGGATATAAATGCCTGCTGCTATCTTATTTCGGTTTCCTGTCATGTGTTTTGGGTCGTTTCCTTTGATTTCTTGAGTTAGACAAGATGCTTCCACTTCTCAACTGCACTGTGACCGTCGCCTCTTTTTTTGGGGGGGTGGAGAGGAATTCCTCGGAACCGATTGCAAACGGGGGTGGGGTGAAGCATAGCACCACAACACACTGCATATGTGTGGGGAGAGCCGTGAGTGTGTCACTGTCAGTGAAACCGCCTTCCTCCCGTTTTTTATTTCGAGAGAGTCGTTGTCGGAAAGAGATCGCTCCTTGGCACGGCAGCCGCATAGTCCTGCTTTCCGTGTCTGGACGCGCTTCCTCCCCGGCGCTTTTCAGGAAGGGGCGCTGCGAGACTGCGGAAGGGTTAAGGGCGTTTGTTGTGCTCCGCCGCCGCTGGTGGGCGTGCCCGCCTTCTGGCGCGCCACTTCAGCCTCGCTCGCGCCTTACAGACCGTGCGAGCGACACCAACTCCGGGGCAGGCGTCTCTTCTGCCCGGTGGGTTGCCAGGCGTGCGACCTGCGCGCCCCCGAAAGCGGCGATCATGCCTGGCAGTGATACCGCGCTCGCGGTGGACAGGACGTATTCGGACCCGGAGAGGCACCGGCGCTTCAAGACTCGGGTAATCCCCTGCCGTTCCTCCCTCCCCACGTCCAACTTCTCCGTCCTTCTCGGCGGCATCCAGGACTGCACCTGGCTGGCATTCTCCTTTCCAGGCGAAAATCAGGGCTGCAAAACTTCCCACCTGCCCGCCTAATGCTGGGTTCCCCCCCCCACCTGACACCTCTGGGGTGGGTCGGGCGCTTGCCGACCTTTGGTTTCTGGGAGAGTGCTGCATTTCCTCTCCTGTGGGTGTTTCCAGAGGCGGTTTCCACTTAGCAGCATCCCAACCCGGCTCCAGTGCGTGCCTCTGTGATGTGTCAAGTGTCAGGTTTCAGCTTGCCTGGCCAGCAAAGCAGCCGCTGGGAATTCCGGCACCTGGTTCAGATGGAGCTGGCACCTCTGCCTATGTGCTGGGTGGACTTTAAACACTGTGGTGCCTGGCCTGGAACTGCTGCACAGAGTTAGTGGGAAAGATATTTCGGGTGCCACTGCCTTTGACTCAAGGACAGGGAGACTTGAACGTGATCCCTGAACAGAGGTGGTAAAAACTAAGCAGAAGTGGCTCACTACCTCACTCTTCAAGTATTTTTTGGAAGCTTTAGGGGGCAGTTTGGAATGTTGAAGGGTGGCTGATGATGCCCCGGGCCTCTCATGCAAGAGCTGAAATTGCAAGAGAGATCTGAAGGGGCAGAATGAATCTCAACACTTAGGCATGTAGGTGAAACAAAGTTTTGAGTCTAGTGGCACCTTTAAGACCAACAAAGTTCAATTCAAGGTATAAGCTTTCGTATGCAAGTCTATAGGTGGAGTATCACTATTTTGGAATCCTTGCTGCCTCCATTATGAAAGGAGACAGGGTTAGCCTTGCTCCTGGATGTCATAGCAGGATGTAGCCACTCTTTTTTTTTAAAAAAAAAAAAAGCTGGAGGCATGCAATGCTGGGCAGGAAGTCAAAAAGGAGAGGATTGTGGATAATGGTCCACTAACCTGCCAGATTTGAAAATGGCACAGACGGACAGGGGTGAGATTGTGAAGTGGCTTCCACCAATACAGAGACACTGTCCAGTTGGCGCCAGGGCTACAAGTATAGCAACTTTTCCCATACTAAGGCAACAGTGACAATTGTACTACAATACTTGGAGAGAGGAATTGGTTTATACCAGAAACTACAGCTAGAGGCGCGCAGGATCCCTTCACAAGAGCTCTCATACAGACTTATCTATATTTGTTACAGACTACTTCAAAATAAATGCCCCTCACAGGGCTTCTTTTTAACGCTGGTACTTTTGCAATATCTGTTTTGTACTGTTTGCTCACAGTCTGTTTTAAAGCCAGTGACTTTGCCTTTCAGTTCCTCTGACAGAAATGAAATTGTGCAAGGCCAAAAATGCAGTCAGATGTTGAAATGAACAGTTCAGAAGTAGAAAGTAAATGTAAGCATGGCAAGAACAAAAAGCAATCTAGGCAATCACTCTTGGATTATCTCGAGTATACTGTGACTCATCTCTTACACATGGGATAGGTAATGTGAAAGTTTCACAGTGAAATGGGTTCAAAGAGAAGATCTAGACCAAGTGATATCATCAGAAAATCAATCCTAATACAGAAATAATTTAGAAAAATTATTAGGGACTCTGGTCTATATTACTGTGTATAGCTTGTTGAAACTAGGATCCTACTGCAGAATTTTGCATCATTTAATATGTCATGTTAATAAGTTATGCTTTGCTTCAGTTCTGTTTTTAGACTTCTGGTTAGTTCTACAACCCGAATCCTACTGCATTGTTTATTGAATGTACCATCCATATATAAAAACTTTTATGGTTAAAAAAAGAATGTACCATCCATAGATTGTATTGGAACACTCTGTGTAATCCTCCTTGAGTCCAAATGAGAAAGATGAACTATACATAACATAACTTACTTGCTTCTAAAAAGAATGCAAATACTATATAGTGGGGCCGTGTCAGAAGCGTTCCCTCTAATTTTTCCTCCTACTGAGCGGAGTAGTTCACATCCTGAGTAGAATGTAACTGCTGTAATCTTAAAATGGGCAGTGCAAGATCCTGCGTGGCTCCAGATTGCTGCTGAGTGGGGTTTCCTGTGTTAATGAGCAGCTGCTCATGTGCACATCTTAGAGGGACCCCTGCAATATTAGGAACAAAACTCAAAATTGTTTTATTGTACAATAGGCTTGCCATATTCTTTTAGATACAGAAGTCTGATTTACATATAATGTTTAGCTAGGCTGAGGGCAAGTTTCTGCCAGTCTTCTCTGAGTAAAGCTACTGTTGTCCAGTAAAAACAAAGAAAGTAGTTTCTAACTATTTGTGTTGTAATTTGTTCTTGCTAGTTTTGGCTTTCAGCAGAAATGTTTGTTCTTTTCCCCCCTTCTAAGATGAGATTTTTAGTGCTTCAAAATAAATTAACTTCACATCTTGGAGCAATTGGATTATTTATCTGGGGAGGGAAAGGAAGTAATCTTCCTGTACAAAATCACACAGTGTGATCCTAAACAGAGTTATACAGCACTCTGAATCCATTGACTTCAGTTGGCTTAGAAGGATAAAATACTATTTAGGATTGCACTTCTTGTCTCTCCGATCGTCCAATTGCATTAAATCATGAGATTGTGTGTTTAAATTGTTTTTGCTTAATTGAATGTCTTAAAATAAAACATTCGCTGGGATTTTGATTGTTGGCATACTGTCAATATAGCATTTATATCGGCTTGCGTCAAGAGAGATTCATTTATTGAGAGTGCTGAATTTTGTATAGAGTCAAATCAACTTGATATTTTAAGTTAAAAGAAATCTGGCATGATCACTGGGGGGAACAGCGTCCCCCACCTACAACATCTTGTGTTAATAAATTCTTGGTCTATAATGATTCATGTGATCTCTTGAACTGTAGACAAATAGAATCCCGAAGGTAAATTTTGTCAGTGCATTCTTTTTAGTTGCTTTTTTTTTTTTGCTTGGCAGATGTTTTGAAAGTTGGTGTTAAATAAAAACAGTCCTCACTAAGATTCTCTGTAAGCGCCAATGAGAGTAGCATTTATCCATGGCCTACCCCACAAAGGACCCGTGAGACAACAGCAGACTAACTGCATTGTTTACTTTTCCACTTGCTGTGTTACAGAGTAGCATCCTGACCAGGGGCCTGAAAGTTACATCACTCCTGCCTTCCCCAAAATTTTTGGTTCCACCCTAATCCAGGTCCTCCAGGCCATGCCTTTTAAAACCCTCCTTACCTAGCCCCTGCTGTCGGCTGAGGGGGGATGCCATCTCCACCCAATGTCCATAGCGAATCCTAACCCAGACTCTTCCCAATAGCACTTGAGCTGAGCTAGACAAAGCCTGCTCATCCTGAGGGGGTGTTTGACTTGTCTGAAGTAACCTTTCCCACCAGAGCTGCCAACTTCCTCTTTAGCTGCCCCTGGGTCTTTCCCACCACAATCTCATTAAGACAGATGTGGCAAAAGTAGTATCACTCCGGTTATTGCTACCAGCTCTAGCATTCTTGGGACACATACATTGTATGTTGCAATTTGTGGACTTCTGTGATCAAGGGGTGGGTTTTCTTTCCCTTCACCAAATTTCTTCTGATTATATGGAGACTTTGTATACTCACGTGCAATCTCTAAGTATTGACTTGAAAGGAGTTAGAAGGTTTCATTCTTTTCAAACATAGCAAAGGGGAACTTCTTGCAGTCAGGTTAAAAAGCAAAGGTTCACATATTCTTTGAAGTGCTTGGCAGATCAGATGTTTCGGAACTGAAGGTGGAGGACTGTGGAAGGATAGGGACTCCCAACCTTACCTAGATTTAATATTAAGAGAAACAGACCTGCAGATATGCGGACAAAGTTAAAGGAGCTTGCAAGCATAGATATATTATCTTAAGGGATTAGAAGTTTAATTAGAGAATTGACATCTTTAACAGTAGGGATTTTAACCTGGGTCTCCCAGATCCTAATCTGAATTCTAACTGCTATGCCACACTGGTTTTCATGTGGTGGCTGCTTTCCAATACTACTGAGTAGCTGGGCCTGGGTGAGTTATGTAAGTCACATTGTTGGAAATAGCCTGTTGGTTGCAGCTAGCCCTTTCCCTTCCCTATGCATTTTAATAATAGCTATCAAGCCTTGAAGCCTGTCAATATGGTTGGGGTTGCCTAGCAATGGCCACTCAGGACATGTGTTTATTAAAGCTACAGCTCTGCGAGGTACCAGGCCCCGCTCCAATGCCAAAGTGTCCCAGCTCCAGTGACAAAGTTTCTGGAACAAGGGAATAAATAGGCAAGTTTAGCAGTCATGGGAGTTCAGCAGCAGGGTGAGGAAGCCAGGGCACGAGCCTTTCCACATCCATAAAAGGGTAAGCACACTTTCCACAAACAAATCAACATAAATAGGACATTTATTAAAAAGGGAATATTTTTAAAAAAGTAATTATGAAAGTAGAATGCAAGCAAGGGGTTGGGGTATCCAGTGTATTACATGGAGTGCAAGATGTATGACTGTCTGCCAGCTGGACAGAAATCATGGGTATGTGCTTGGTGCAAGGAGCTTCTGGTTTTCAGGGAATGAGTTCGCACCCTCAAGGCCAAGGTGGCTGACCCAGAGAAGCAGAAACAGTCAGACACACGGATAAGACTTTTGGAGACTTGTTAGATGTGTCCCACACCGTGAATGGCAGCCTTGCTGCTGTCAGAGAGCATGAGGGTCAAGGGGAAGCAGGGCGCTGTTTTGAAGCAAGGGGGAATGTTCCCTCAGAAGGGACCCCTTCTGCAGAAGGGACTCCTGGTGCAAAGAAACCGTCCCTGGACAGAGTTCTTGGTAGTTGGTGATTCAGTCCTTAGACATGTAGATAGATGGGTTGCGAACCTCCGTACTAACCGCATGGTGACTTGCCTGCCTGGTGCAAAGGTAGCGGACATTACATGTGGTCTAGATAGGCTCGTAGACAATGCTGGGGAGGAGCCAGTGGTCATGGTACATATTTGCACCAATGATGTGGGGA